CTGAGCCACTGGGCCCTATAGGACACCTAGCACACAAAACCACTCTACCAACACAGGGAAGCATAAAATATGCGGAGACACAGAAAGAGGTCACAAATGACAGAAATGAAGGAAAGCAAACGACTGGATATAGAGTTCAAAACCACGTTTATAAGGTTTTTCAAGAATTTTCTGGAAACCGCCGATAAATTTAGTGAGACCATGGAGGATATGAAAAAAGACCAACTAGAAATTAAGCATACACTGACTGAAATAAAGAATAATATACAGAGATCCAACAGCAGACAAGAGGATCCCAAGAACCAAGTCAAAGATTTGAAATACGAAGAAACAAAAAATACCCAACCGAAAAAGCAAAAAGAAAAAAAAATCCAAAAATATGAAGATAGTGTAAGGAACTTCTGGGACAACTTCAAGCGTACCAACATCAAAATTATAGGGGTGCCAGAAGAAGAGAGAGGGCAAGATATTGAAAACCTATTTGAAGAAATAATGACAGAAAACTTCCCCTACCTGGTGAAAGAAATAGACTTACAAGTCCAGGAAGCGCAGAGAACCCCAAACAAAAGGAATCCAAAGAGGACCACACCAAGACACATCATAATTAAAATGCCAAGAGCAAAAGACAAAGAGAGAATCTTAAAAGCAGCAAGAGAAAAAAAGTCAGTTACCTACAAGGGAGTACCCATACGACTGTCAGCTGATTTCTCAACAGAAACTTGGCAGGCCAGAAGGGAATGGCAAGAAATATTCAAAGTGATGAATACCAAGAACCTACAACCAAGAATACTTTATCCAGCAAAGCTATCATTCAGAATTGAAGGTCAGATAAAGAGCTTCACAGATAAGGAAAAGCTAAAGGAGTTCATCACCACCAAACCAGCATTATATGAAATGCTGAAAGGTATTCTTTAAGAAGAGGAAGAAGAAAAAGGTAAAGATACAAATTATGAACAACAAACATGCATCTATCAACAAGTGAATCTAAGAATCAAGTGAATAAATAATCTGATGAACAGAATAAACTGGTGATTATAATAGAATCAGGGACATAGAAAGGGAATGGACTGACTATTCTTGGGGGGGAAAGGGGAATGAGAGATGCGGGAAGAGACTGGACAAAAATCGTGCACCTATGGATGAGGACAGAGGGTGGGGTGGGAACTGGGAGGAGGGGAGTTATGGGGGAAAAAAAAAAGAGGAACAAATGTAATCTGAACAATAAAGATTTAAAAAATAAAAAAAAATAAAAAAAGAAATGTAATAGTATTTTAAAATATATTTTTAAAGCATATAAAAACTTTTTTTTAAGATAAGAATTTCAATTTGCTTGACATCACTATTTATGTTGTGAAAAATCTCCTGCATTCTCCAACTTTGTTATCAGTGAAGGAACACTATTCCTCTAAGTGTTCAAACTAGGAAATTTGGAATCATCTTTGGCAGCTCCCTCTTGCCCACTTTTCACATCCTTTTAGTCACAGGGTAGTTGATCCTTTTGATAACACTTAAAACCTGTTCTCTCCTGTCCTTTTCTATTTCATTGGCTTAATTCAAGTCCTCAAGATCTTGAACCCAGTCTACTGCACTAGCCTCAATGTCAGTTATCATATTATTTATTCCCCATTTTAATCCTGTCCCTGTTCCATCATCAAAGTCCATTCTAAAACAAGATCTGCTGAAAACATTTCAGCGACTCTCTGAGGAAAATATCCAAACTCCTATACACAGCAAGAAATGTCCTTAATGTACCAGCCCCTACCTGTATTTTCCCAGCCTTTCTCAGCCACTCATGCATGATAGATCCTGGATCTATATGTTTCAAACTATGGAACTTAGAGGGTGTCTCAGAGTCATAAAGTCTTAAGATAAACATGGTTCATCTTCCTTAAGTTTAATTTCATTTAAATATCTATGGTTTTAAAAAAAGTAGTTTACCTGGTAAATAAGTTAAAATACTATTTTTATGCTAGGCCCTTAATACTATGTCCCATGATATTTGAATGGGAATACACACACAGGGCAGATCCAGATCCCAGGCAAACTCTAAAGAGGGAGGAGGGATGAGTAGGTAGAGCACAGGTGACTTCTAGGGGAGTGAAGTACTCCGTGTGATACAATAATGATGGACATATGTCATCACACCCATAGAAAATACCTAAAGTAAATTATGGACTTTGGGTGATTATGATGTGCCAATATAGTTTTATCAATTTCAAGAGATGAGGGATATTGATAATGGGGAAGGCTATGCATATGTAGGGCAGGAGATTTAAGTAAAATCTCTATACTTTCCCCTCAATTGTGCTGTGAACCTAAAACTTCTCTTTTAAAAAATGATAGTAAAAAAAATAAGTATATAGAGCATTTATAATTTTGTATATTGGACATACTTCTGACAGGAGAGAAGTAGGGGTCTAATAAGAATTAGAAGCATTTTACACAGACCAGCTTATGACCATATACATTCTAAACCTTGTTTTTCCTCCAAGTTCTTCTGTGGCTGGACTCAATTAGAATTTACATATTTCTGTATACCTCTGACCCTACATATCTTTGTCATGATGGCTAACAATAACTTTACGATAAATGGAAGTGACTCTCAGCCATAGGAATATATTCACTCCAGCAAAGTGTCTCCCCATATGAACGTCACAATAGCCACATCCCAAATTATGAGTCATGGCAGTACCACCTAACACAAGGCAGTGTGACAGAGGGAAGTTGTGATTGAAAAGACAACCATCTTAAAAAAAAAAAAAACCCACAGATTCTTCCAGAAATATCTAATGGGCATTTTCTAGAAGAGTGCAATTTTACAAAACCAGATTACACCAGAGTCCATGGCATTTTATGTTAACACCATCAGCGATCCATTTGTCTCCACAGTCTGGTCAGAGAAAAGGAAGCAAAAAGGTAATAAATTGAAGAAAAAAAAGTGAGCAAGGCATCTAGGCCTTTCTATTCAATAGGCTTAATTTTTTAAAATTGTTTACTCTTTTATTTTGAGCAGTGTGAGCCATAACAGAAAGAGCTTAGCTATGTAAGGAGAAAACAACTCAACGCAGTGATATTAATGGGACAAGAACAACTCCCAAAGATATAAAAAGGTCAACTCTTTTGAACTGGAAGATCAACAGCAAAGGATGCCACACCTCGACGGAGGGAGTGCAATGGGGTGTGTGCGGTGGTTTCTTGAGTTGAAGAATTTGACAGGCAGCTATGAAGTGGTCTGTATTGGAGGGTGATACTTGAAGGTCTGGGGTTCCAGCAATTTTGTGGGGAGAATCTCAGAGTAAGGACTTTTCTTTATTAATTTTTTTATTGCCACTCATAGTTTGGTTGCTGCATCTACCCACAGCTCCTGTGGAAGCTGGGGAGACAGGGATTCTGAAGTTGTCATGATTACAGCACTCAGTTAGCAAAATAGATATAGCACCCAGGATAGGAAAAAACACTGAAGGATTTGTCTTCTCCGCTGTTCAAATTGTAGGTTAAAAGGATGAGGCTATCATTTAAAGGAGATGGGGAAATAAGTTAAAGACAAGACACCTCACAGAGATAAAGAGGAATCAATGGCATGGTTAAGAAACAGGCATTTCACTTATGGGAATAATCAAATAACCTCACGAGCAAAAATCCACATTCAAATAACATTTACCTGCATCCCAGGTCTGATAACAAACCAGCAAGCAAAGCATAAGCAAATTCTGCAGATAGGAACATGCAAAATCAAAATTCAGCTAGGGTTAATTTGCATCTGTAGAGAGGTACTTTCTTGCATGACACAATAGTGAGGCCAGGAATGTATTTTCTACTTGAAAATTATTGCAGAGGTTCTGGGTCTGTGAGCAGGAAGATACTTTGGAGTGGAAGAATGATACCCAACCAACTCACTCTTTTCTTCATGACCATCTATCTGCTCGAGTCCTTGACAATAATTGTGCAGAGCAGCTTAATTGTTGTGGTGCTGAGCAGAGAGTGGGTGCAGGTCAAAAGGCTGTCACCTGTGGACATGATTCTCATCAGCCTGGGCGTCTGCCGCTTCTGTCTACAGTGGTCTTCAGTGCTGCACAACTTTTGCTCCTATTTCAACTCTGACGATGACCTTTGGTACATAGCAATCATCTGGGAATTTACTAATACTCTTGCATTCTGGTTGACCAGCTTGCTTGCTGTCGTCTACTGTGCCAAAGTCTCTTCCTTCACCTACGCCATCTTCCTCTGGCTGAGGTGGAGAATTTTGAGGCTGATTCCCCAGCTGTTGCTGTGCTCTCTGATGATTTCCTGTGTGACAATCATTGTTTCAGCTATTAAACATTACATCAAGAGTCAGTTAATCTTGCAATTACCTGGAAACATCACGAAGACTGAGACACTTAGGACCTTCCTGGAAAAATATTACATAGGTCAGCATCTGGCAATGTTGTTCATTCCTTTCCTCCTGTTCCTGGCCTCCACCATCTTGCTCATAGCCTCATTGTGCCAACACTTGAGGCAGATACGACATCACGACACTGGCCACAGCAACTCCAGCATGAAAGCTCATGCTACTGCCCTGAGGTTTCTTGCCTTCTTCCTCATCTTCTTCACCTCTTACTTTTTGACCATAATCATCTCCACTAAATACATCTTAAGGCATAAGACTTCCTGGTTCTGGGCCGGCGAAACTATCATCTATGCTACAGTCTCTATTCATTTAACTTCACTAATGCTGAATAGCCCTACGTTGAAAAAGGTTTTAAAGGTAAACTGCTGTGGCCCAAAGCTGCCTGAGTCTCCAGGTACAGCAAGACCCTAAGCAAATGGGAGCTTGCATTGATGCAACTAATACCAACAACCAGCTTTACTCTTCACAATCCAATGTGATAGACACAGAGTGCGCGCGCTGTCTCCCTCCTCCACCACTGCTGCCTCCTTCTTCTGCTGCTCCTGGTGCTGCTTGTGTGCTCTTTTGGTGCGGACCTGGTACCTCTTTTGTGAAACCTCTGGCTCTCGCCATGGCCGACGAAAAGCCCAAGGAAGGAGTCAAAACTGAGAACAACGATCATATTAATTTGAAGGTGGCAGGGCAGGATGGTTCTGTGGTGCAGTTTAAGATTAAGAGGCATGCACCACTTAGTAATCTAATGAAAGCCTATTGTGAACGACAGGGTTTGTCAATGAGGCAGATCAGATTCTGATTTGACGGGCAGCCAATCAATGAAACAGACACACCTGCACATTTGGAAATGGAGGATGAAGATACAATTGATGTGTTCCAGCAGCAGACAGGAGGTGTCTACTAAAAAGAGATCCTGCTACTTTACTCCAGAACTCTGTGCCTCCAGACCAAGAAGACATTCTCAATTAGAAAACTGCAATTTGGTTTCAACCCATCTGACTACTACAGTATAGATTTCTCTATTCTTTTATTTCCCCCTTCCCCATTCCTTTATTGTACATAAAGTAACTGATGTATGTGCACAAGCATTTGAATTTTTTTTAACTAAGTGGCCAATGGTATGTTTTGATCTACATCAAATGAGATGGGATGGGGAAAAAAAATACTGGTTCTGTGAAAACACTGCCTTTCTCCATTAGTGGCATGCTCATCCAGCTTTTATCTTTATATTCTAGTAAGTATTTTTGCTCTGACTGTTTAACAAAAAAAGAACAACATAAAAATTCTTGCATACCTTGTTTGATTGGAGAATTTTAATGTTTTTTATTTATCATTAAAAAACCAAGGACAATTTTATAACTTCTTTGTACGTAGCTGTTACATGTAGGGCAATCTGTCTTTAAGTAGGGATGAATTACTCTAAAAAAAATGAATCCTAGATAGTTTTCCCTTCAAGTCAAGTGTCTTGTTTAAATAAACTTCTTGTTTAAAATGAAAAAAAAAAATAAAGAAAAAACAATCCTATGTGATAGTACTGTTCCCTAAATACAAGTAAGACCAAGCAAGCCTCGTTCTCTTCCATTCCCACAGCCATTCATCTCTAAACAGCCAGTCTTTCTCTATTCTATGCCGCTCCTATCTTTTCCTCTCCACAGTCCCCATGTTGGTCACAACTTTCTCATGACTTCCCCATCTCTCCTCAGTCTT